ACATTTATGCATAGGGAGACCTCAGATTTCCCCTTGGCAAAAACAGATGTTTCACTTACACTTCTGAGCCAGGAGCATTGAAACAATAATATAAGTATCATTCATCAGCATTTCCCGTCCCCTTCCACAAAAACCTCAGGAGTTACAGATTAAACATACAATCTATTTACTATATCAGTTAACCCCTCTCAATCCCCTCACCTCTTAATTCCCCCTTTTCTTGTCCATACCAACCTTCCTTGAACATCTGGCTTGTCCCCCAACTGAAAATTCAATTTGTTTTCCCTCCCTCATCTTATGTTGAAAGGTCTTACATAGTTTGAAATCTCAAAGAGAAAACAGTAACTCTAAAAGTGTGTTGTAAGGAAGCCTTTCCTTTCCCCATCAAGGGGCCTAGCATGCTTTTGATACTCAGCTGTCAGGAGTTTTTCTTGTTTTTAAGTCTCCTGTAAATTCATCTGATCTACCAGCGCGAGACCCAGGAGAACACAGTCCACTTTGTCCAGCAGAATCTTCTATTTACTATGCAGGTCTGTGTTCAACATGAAAGAGAAGGCATTCTTCTGACCAGGTTCAAAGTAAGCTATCCATTAGGTTTCCCTTCAGCTGTAACTTCTGTTAGCTGAGGGCGTGTGAATTATACTATTTTTGCTCCTCCCTTCTCTCCAACATACAGCTGCCTGCAACCTCCATCCCACGCCGACCTCCCACACACCCAAAAAGGACACCTATTCAATTCCATAATAGATAATTACAAAGCATTATGATGTGGGGACTAGAAAGATCTTGCTCTTCACTTTTCATGTCTGTCCAACCCAAGCATTCCTGGTGAAGACCTTTTAGTCTCAAGCATGTGTCTTGGAGCTTCAGCACTTGCAAGGGCTGCTCCAGCCTTCACTTCTGATTCTGTGGATCAGGCAGGGAGTTAATGACACCACTCAAAACATTTGGGTACTGTCTTACCTAAAGACTGTTTAATAAAATAATAACAATTAGCATTTCTCCAGCACCTTTCAGTCACAGACTTCAAAATGCTTCACAAAAAAGGATAAGTATCATTATCCCCATTTTACAGAAGGGAAACCTATGGCCAAATTAAATTATTTGTCCAATGTCACACAGTGATTGTGTGGGAGAACAAGGAATTGATCCCAAGCCTCCTGAATCCCAGCCTTGTGCCCTGTCCACTCAACCATGCTGCTTGTTCTCCAAGTGATTTTCCAAGTCTCGATAAGACAAGGAATCCTTATACCGTACACAGAGCACATTCCATCCACAAACAAGGCAGAAGATCATAGCCCCAATGTACAGCTACAATAATAAAAATAATAATAATTAAGTGAGATACAGCTACAAATTGGAGAAATAGCAGGATTATAGGAAAGACTCCACTGAGGAATATTCCCATGGACTATAGAGAGAGCAAAGTCATGGCCAGTGCAGACTTCAGTCCTCAATTCAAGATCAATAAACTGTTGCTCTTAACGTATGGGTGTGGCAAGAGATAAAAAGCAAGTAAACAGTAACTGAAACAAAGCTTAGCCCCCTAAACTCAAAAGATAACCTGAGCTTAATGACTAGGCATGTAACTGCTGTCCAAAAGACTTTCCTCTTTGAAGATGGTTTTCAGGAAGTCACCAGCCACAGCAACCTTGCTGGAATCCCCCAGCAAGATGAAACTGCATTAAGTACATTCCACGAGAAGTTCTAAAGTTAGAAACTGTCAAGCTTCTGCAGTCCCCCTGCCCCGTTTACTCAGGCCTGGAGAACCCCATCCAAAGGAAACAACTATCCTGCTCTACTATCATTTCTTTCCTCCCTTGCACATGAAGCAGCTATCTAAGAGGAAAACTAGGGACAAAGTATTTTAACTATAGATTTATCATGCAGTAAAATAAGTGCATTGGCAAAAGACCAGTTTGGAGACAACACCAATTAAACCAATCTCTCACCTCCCTTCCAAATATTATTGAAGAGTAGAATTCCCAGCCAATGCGTTTACAGACCTTATGTTCAGAACTGAAAGCTTCAGGGGGAGGGGGGACTGCAAATTCCACTTGCCTGCAACCAGTACAATTCTCTCCTCTCTGGTGCACAAGGTCTGCACACACAGTTAAAGATTTACCACTAAAGAAAAATAAACATCTGGATTTAGCAGTGCACTTGGCTTTCAGGACTAGCCATAATAATCATCAACTCCAAAGAAGCTGCAATACAGGCATAAACAACCAAAAAGTTAACTTACTAGTGCCAGCTATTTTCTGAAAGAGTGACTTGCATCAATAATATAAGTTACTTTTTAACCTTCTATAATTAGATTCTGTTAAAAAGTACCTTTCATTCTAGGGACAAAGAAAGGCAAATAGATTAGTAGTCCACTTGTCCCGCTACAGAAAATCCATCAACAGCCTGTCTGAAGCCTCACTATTGTATAGAAGATCAGACTTGGGCCTTCCTAGAGCATACACAGCCAAACTATGGTGGTTTACAGAAGAGCTCAACCATCTCAAACTAAACAGAGACCATCAAACTCACACCACGATGATGCTAGAGATAAAAGTAACGTTGCAAGTTCATCCAGTCTACCCTCCCTTCCACAGCCAAGGCTTCCTTCACTAAAACCCAATAAGGATTCACTCCCACAGTTTACAATACAATATTTGTCAGAGGAAGACAAATGAAGATGAACAGGTCAGTCAGTTACAGAAGTACTAGACAGAAAATCAGATTAGAAACAACCGATGTCAAAACACCATCACTGTTTCATCATTAGAAGCCTCCTAAAGCAGCCAGATCAGAACTTTTCACAACAGACACACCTAACCAAGCTTGCTCTCTGGCACTATAGAACACCATCTCACAAAGACACTTGTTCTAATCTCTTACACTGGTCCTTGGCAGCAACAGCCCAGATTTATTTTACAAACATGACCAAGGGGGAGAAATGCAGTAACCCCATATCTGTAGGGTTAACAAAAGCACTCACATACCTGATGCTGGAAGCAATCCTACCAAACTTATGATTTCTTTCATGCATAAAACCTACTTACTTTTTGTTAACTCTACCTTTGTGTATTTTCCAGCGGACACAAAACACTACCCACAGAACAATAATTAGTGATCAGCGGTCTGAAGCTGCGTTAATTAACCGTATCCCTCTTTCCTCCCTCAAAGAGAAAACTGGCAGAAAACTGTCCTTCTGCAATTGATATCTGATTAATATCCAATAGATCAACTTTCAGTGGGCAGTACACTGCCTTTCAGAGAGATGGAGATGATCATACAACTGTCCCTCCCCCCTCTCATCTTTACTTACCAGGAGTCTAGTGAATTAAAAAAAAAACATATATTATACATAAATAAATAAATAAGGCACATCAGAAGCTCCCTCCCTTTCTCATTGCATAACCAACACTGGCAGAAAGTGCTGCAAGTTTCACCCAACGTCATGATCTTAAGAGCAGCTCCCAATGCTGAAGTTTTAAGAAAATGCAGCTGAATGTCTTTTTCAAGTTAGGATTTATTTTTGGCTTGCGTCAATTGGGAAAGGAGAAGTGTTCCACATCCTGGAGAGTCTGCCCAGACTGTCTATGATGACAGTGCCTAGCAGAATGCATCATAAATTTCACCAAGTGTTTAAAGTGTCACTGAATCCACTTACATAGCCACAGTAAAACAAAACACAGTAAAAAAAATTCATTTTAGCAGCTATGAAAGTGTCCAGCTATATAACTCCCAGTGAGAGTGTTTCACAGTTTGCTAGACTATTGGGTTTTCAGATTAAATTATGGAGAAGGGAACCATTAAAAATGTATCCACATCTTTAACAAATGCAAATAGTGCCCTGAACGTACTGTGGTCTTGTTCACAATTCATTCAGTATAAAAAATACTCGACTTTGCAATCCATTAGCCCTCTCTACCCTCCAGTGGTAACAGCTTCCCTTACAGGCAGGCACCAACCTCAGCCAAGATACACGAGTTCACTGCCAGCTCTCCCCCTACACAAGGAGGCAGGCTAAGCACAAGAGGAGAATGGACTCGACTCATGCCTGAGGTCAAAACCTTGGAAAGACTAGTCCAGTAAACCAGGTACTAATAGAGCCCATGATCCACAGAGTCACTGGGCAAGTCAGTTTGCCTCTTTGTGGCTTGGTCATCGCCAAGATATGGGGAGGGCACATCAATACCCCTCAGCCCAAGTCCCTGGGGAATGGGACTGGCTGAGGCATCTCTGCAGACCAACACTGAGTCTAGTTCTCTTTGGAAATGGGTGGAATGGGGCAGCCCTGGAACACACCATCACATGGCCCCGACCCAGCTCTCCTGAGGGGGAGGCAGCTCTTACATGCCTCCTCCTCAGCATTTTTTCAGGGGTGAGGGCAGGGGAGAAGGCAGCCCTGACAAACACCCTCCCCTGCCTAACTCATTTGGGGAGGCCAAGAGAAGCAAGGCATCCCTGACACCCCCAGTTAAACTGAAAGAGAAAGAGACAGCCCTGACACCCCCTCCTCCTGTATCCGGCTCCCTTGGGTGGGGGTGGGGAAGAGACAGGGCCAGATTTACACCTTACGTGCCTCTAGGCACAGCATCTTCAGCATCGTCCCCCCAGCTGACCTTCGTCTTGCACACAGTTTTAGAGAGGTAAGGCACCCCTAGGCACATGCCTACTGTGCCTAATTGGAAATCCGGCCCTGGGGAGAGACAGACACCCCCTCCTCCTGCACCCAGCTCCCTTCGGTGGGGGAGAGGAGCAGAGACAGCCCTGACACACGCTATCCTCCTGCGCCTGGCTCCCTTGGGTGGTGGTGGGGAAGACAGACCCTGACACCCCCTCCTCCTGCGC